GACAGTTGTTAGCTGCCATGTGGGTGCTGGGATTCGAACCTGGGTCTTCTGAAAGAACAACCAATGTTCTTAACCACTGAGCCATCTCTCCAGCCCTCATTTTCTTAATTTTTAAAAATATATTGTTATTTTATGTGTATGAGTATTTTGCCTGTATGTCAAGTGTATCCATGCATGCAATGCCTGAAGAGGCCAGAAGAGGGCATTAGATACCCTGTAACTGGAGTCACAGATGGTTGTTAGCTACCATGTGGGTGCTGGGAACAGAACTCAGGTCCTCTTCAAGAGCAGTCATTGCTCTTAACTGTTGAACCATCTCTCCAGCTGCCCTCCCACCCCCATGGGTATGATTTTTTGAGACAGGGTCTCCCTGTAGTCCCAGCTGGCCTGGAACTCACTATGTAGAGCAGACTGGCCTCAAACACAGAGATCAGCCTGCCTCCGCCTCCCCAAGTGCTGGTATTAAAGGTGTGTGCCATCATGGCCAGCTTCCCATGGGTATTTTAATTAATTAATTAATTAATTAATTAGATCTTTTTGAGACGGTCTCCCTATGGCCTCAGCTGCCTGCCTCTGCCTCCTAAGTGCTGGGATTAAAGGCATGCACCATCATGCCTGGCTCCATAGCCATTTTTAAAGGACCTTTGTTACTGTTCTGTCTGTGTTTAGGCAAAAGCAGAAACAGCAGGTCTAGGGAGAAAGATACTGAAGTAATCCTAGAAGGGGAGGGGGCTTGAATGCAGAGTGAGAAGAGCTGGAGTTGGTGAGAGGCAGTTGGATTTGGGTTACAGTTTGAAGATACATCTGTCCTCGGATTCTGAGTTTGTATGTAGGATGAGAGCAAAGGAGGGAAGCAGGGCCACTCCTGGGTTTTGGCGGGTTCATGGGAGAGCAGTGCACGAGCTGGGAAGAAGGAAAAGGATGGCTCCAGGCATTGCTTCTGGCCATCCATCCAAACATCCATCCAAGCATCCATCCAAGCATTCATCCATCCAAACCTCCATCCAGATATCCAAACATCCATCCATCCATCCATTCAACCAAACATCATTCATCTATCCATCCATCCAAACATCCATCCAAGTATCTAGCATCCATCCAAGCATTCATCCATCCACCCAAACCCCCATCCAGACATCCAAACATCCATCCATCCATCCATCCATCCAAACATCCATCCACCTATCCATCCATCATCCAAATATCTGTGCTCCATTTATACACTCATCCACTGTATATAAAGCTATGAATGTGGTAGTCATGGCCCCCACTTTAGTGGTTCCCATAGGTCTATTGAGCTAAAATCCTCTGATTGGTGAAGCCTGAGTCTTTCATCTACATTCTTGCTAGGTGTGGTGGGACAACTATGTTGGTGGTTCTAACAAGATAATCTTTTTAAAAATTTATTTTTATTTTATGTGTATGAGTATATTGCCTACGTGTGTAAGTGCACCCAAGTTGTATAATGCCTGCAGAGGTCAGAAGAGGGCATCTGATTCCCTGGAACTGGAGTTACAGATGGTTGTTAGCTGCCATGTGGGTGCCAGGAATTGAACCCAGGTCCTCTGCAAGAGCAACCAGTGCTCTTAACTGAGCCATCTCTCCAGCCCCCTACCAAGATATCCAGGGGCTGGAGTGTAGTGCAGTGGGAGAATACATGTCTAATATTCAGAGTCCTGAGTTTGAGTCCCAACACTGAATAAAGAAAAAGTGGCTTTCCAAATGAACACCCTGGGAGACTATTAATAGAAGATGGGAGGAGGAATTCTATGTAGGCACAGACAACAGATGCTCACCATAACAGAAGCATTGAACCATTATGTGGAGGAATAAGAAAGGATGGGAGGGTATTGGTGGAGGCTCCCTTACCAGCTTTCACTTGTTTCTCCCTGGCCAAATTTCAGGGTCTGGCCTTGTATCCATAAGAACCCAGAAGAATCCATTTCCTTCTATAGATGTGGTTATCAGAGTCTTAGCTGTAGTCCTCCCAACCCTGGCCCCATGTACCTCTACCCCTAAGACACCTGTTGGGCTCACCGACTACAGCTCTAGCATCCAAACAGTGCTTTGTAGCCTGAACAAGGTCAGCACCAGGCCCAGGTCTCTGCTGCAGAGCAGGCTGTCAACCAGTTGCTGCCACCTGTGGCCTTGCATTTGGAATAGATGGCAAGTTTTTGGCGTGATGGCGCAAGCCTGTAGTCCCAGCACTTGGGAGGCAGAGGCAGGTGGATCTCTAAGTTCAAGGCCAGCCTAGTCTACATAGTGAGCCCCAGGCCAGCCCCCACTACAGGGAGACCCTGTCTCAAAAATATCAAAGAAAAAAACAAAAACAAAAACCACACAACCGTTCCCCACCCCCCAGATGTCAGGAGCCTCACATCCAGAATTGAATATTCTGGTTAAGCTGGTGCCTGGTGAGGCTGGGGCAAGCTGAATGTTTTAATAGCGCTCCACCTGATTCTGATGTGTGCCTGGGTGAAGAGCTGGTGATTTAAATCCTGTTGGAAAATGGTGTTCACAGCTGTACCTCCTTGCTTCTGGGTCATGTGTTGAGGTAGAGGCAGGGTCCTGTACATGTCTCTATTGCTAGCAGATGTAGTGCGTGGTCTGTAAATATTTGTGGAACAAATGATGATGAGTTTTTTGTTTTTGTTTTTTTGGTGACAGGTTTCTCTCACACTGTAGCTCAGGCTGACCCCAAACGTGAAGCAATTCTCCTGCCTCAGCCTCCCAGTGCTGGAATTATAGGCATGTATCATCACACCCAGCTCAATGATGGAAAGCTTGAACCAGTCCTCCATGGTAGAGCAGAGGTGGCTCTCCCTGGAGAGTGGCATCCTCTCTCTTCCTTCCTGCTGGCACATGAGACAGGGCTGTAGTCACTGTCATTCCTGGGTTGTGACCAGGACCTGAGGAACTCTGGCTTCAGTCCTCAACTCCCTTTTGATTCATTCAATGTTTTAAACAATCACCTCCTAACCTTATGACTCAGTGAATTTCAACTGCAGCAGGACCAGGGCTTTAAAAAGGTATCCTAGTGATTCCAACATGCTAGGGGTGTTGGGGACCACTGCCCCACTCTCCTCTGCTACCTTGTTTCCCAACATCAGATATTATAAGCTGGGAGATCCCTGGAATGTTTTATTGAAGGGTGGCCCTGGAAGTCTTACTGGTTCATGACCTTCACCTTGGGGCTTGATTAAAAAGCCATGTTCCTGGGCTGGAGATGACTCAGCATTTAAGAGCACTGGCTGTTCTTGCAGAGGACCTGAGTTCGATTCCCACCACATGGTAGCTAACACCTGCCTGTAACTCCAGTTCTGGGGAAATCTGTCATCTTCTTCTGACTTCTGTGGGCACTGCACAAACACATGTCCACTTACACACATGCAGGCAATACACTCATACACATAAAATAAAAATAATAAAAACATTTTAAATCCATGTTCCTGATTGTGAATCCAGACTTGAGGAACCAGAGGCCTGGGAAGGAGCCTGGGAATCTGCATTTTACACCAGCCTCCGGATGTATTGGTTACCTGTCAGCCTTGAAGATTTCTCTGTTCCCTGCCTCCCACACACCAGACCACTTCCTGTTCTCACTGCCAAGGACAGGGCCCTCAGGTCGTCATCAATCAAACTCTTCACATGTCACTTCCCCCAAGAGGCCCTTCCTGACCCTGTAGGTCCTGAAACCTCCCCAAGCCCCCGCTGATCATATCCCACTGGGGAGATGATCTCTATCCCTTTCTTTCCCAACTGAGGGACCACAGTGCAGGTTCATGCTGGGTCGTGTGTCGTGCCCCCCCCACCCCCGTGGTCGGTGGTCCAAGGAAAGCAACATTGAGACTTGAACTCTAAGCGTCTGCCATTCTTGCCCAGGTCAGGGCTTGCAATCAGAGACAGGCCCCCCGAGTCACAGCTGTGGGCAAAGTACAGGGCGCCAAAAAAAGACAGGGTGCTCATGTCATGCAAAGGTTGGGAAGAGGAAAGGCCCAGCGAGTGGTCCCTAGGAAAACACATATGGCAGTAGCTTCTGGTTCGGATCCTGGGTCAGGCAAGGGCCGGTGGGAGATAGAGGCCAGAGCCTGTCGCGGTGTCCTGGCCACCTGCAGCGTGGCCACAGGACTGGAGGGAGGCCTCCTTCCTCCCAGCTTGGGCCAGACAGGGCTTCGCCCCTCCCCCGTCCGGGTGTCGCCCCGCCCCCGCCGGGTCCGGCCGCGTCCCCGCCCCCTCCGCGGGCTGCAACAGGTGCCTCGGAGCAGGAAGCTCACCCTGCTGGGCTCCCCGGACGCGTCCAGGACCCGCTGCGCGCGGCGCGCCATCCCCTGACCAGGCGTGCGCCCCTCCAGGACGCTGACCCCGCCGTCCTCCCGAGCCTCCTCCCTGCCTGGCCACCTGTAGCCTTCGCCACTCCTAGCGCCATGGATGCCTTGGAGCCGCAGCCCGACCCCGACGGCGGGGACGGCCCAGGCCAGGAGCCTGGGGGCAGCCCCCAAGAAGAGTTGGACTTCTCCATCCTCTTCGATTATGACTATTTGAACCCCATCGAAGGTCGGTGGAGGCTCCCCCCGCCTGGCCCCCAAGCCTGGGCGGGGATGTGGGCCTGGGGACCCGGTGTAGGGCCAGCTCTGCGCCACACTTCAGGTTACCTCGGGTGGCCTGCAGCAGAGGACTGCCTCTGCCCAAGTGACCAGGAGGGGAGCCGGCGATAAGGACCGCGCCTGGCTCCCTCCCTCCCCATCAGGACGTCAGTTTCCAGTTCTCCCCAGCGTCACTCTTAGCATAGCGAAGGATGGCCAGGTCCCCAGGACTGGAGTTTGCGATCCGGAGTGGGTCTTCAGAACTGGTGGAAGTGATGGCTTTGCCCACAGAGGGAGGAGGGGAGGAAGACGCAGAGAGGAGTTGGTGGAGGGGTGTGTGCGCAAGGATGTAAAACAGAGCCAGCTGACCCAGCCAGGGGGGCTGTCCCTCCTTCCTGGGCGCTGCTGGGAGACAGCCTCCCTGTGGCCTCCCGGGAGCTGCGGTTGTTGGGGACTTTGTGTTGAAACTAAGGAAGAGATAGTATGTCTCATGCAGGAGGGTAGTTTGTCTTTGGTGTCAGGAGGGCGGCCCATTTCCTCTCTGGATTCTGCAGCTTACCAGCCACCGGCAAGTGGACCCAGCCCTAGCTTCCTAAATGATTTTATCCCTGCCCTTCGCCCATGCTATACTGGCGGGGGCAGCTAGGGGAGCAGAGGTGTGGATCTGGGAGAACATAGTCTGTGCTTTCAATTGCTCTGTTGCTGGGGGGTGGGCACACACCCTGTCATTTTTCCAGTGGCAGTAGCAGCAGGAGGCCCTGTGCCCAGCCTCAGTGTCTTTTTGGTTAGCAGGTTGTCTTGGAACAAACAAGAAACTCAACCAGGCTTCCCATTTGACAGCCCAGCCCAGCCCAGCCAATGTGTGTGACAGGCAGCCTTCTGGCAGCCTGCAGATGCCTAGATGGCTCTGGGCTTGCCTGCATCTGGTGCCTGGTGTGTAGGAAGGGCCATGCCTTCCTGGCTGGGGAGAAAGCCTGTTACTGAGTCTTGGTTGACTTTAGCGTTCTCTTCAACAGGGTCCTCAGGAGCCACCTTAGTGGAGGGACTTGCTTTGACAGTGGGTATCACCCTCGGTGAGCAGGAGATGGCAATTAGTAACAATTTTGTATTTTGTCTGGGGCTGGAAACAATTAGTCAAGAGCAGTGTTCTAGGGTTTCAATCTAGGGACAGCCTTCTCTTTGAAAAGACACAATTAGGAATCTGTAAGCCATCCATGTTCACATCAGTGGTCTCTATGTTCGTTAAGATTAAAGTCATGTTTGGCAGAGAATTAATATACCCCTCCCAAGTTCACAATCAGCTATCCCCCTACCCCCCTTTTTCTGAGGTGAGGGTGGAGGGTGGCGAGGATTTCCGGGAAAATAGTTTCCAAGCCAAATCTGGTGGGAGGTGCTTTCTATAGTTTTTCTTGGCAAGTAGAATTTGGTGGCCACCAGATGGGCTGCTTAATGTCCATGGGAAAGCCTGGTAATCTGTATTTTTTTTAAAATAATAAACTTTATTTTTTGGGGGAGCAGTTTCCCATTTATAGAAGCACTCTGATGGTAACCCAGAATTCCCATACACCCAGAATTCTATTCTTTATGTTAGCCTAGTGCATCAGCATGACACATTTGCTATAATTAATGAATTGATACTGAGACTTCCTTATAAACAGAAGTCCACTTTCAGAGTCAGGATGTTTCTAGACTTTTTGTTGTTGCTGCTATTTTGTTTTGTTTTTAACCTTGAAAGTCCTGAGCAGTACTAGATGTTACACCTTTGTATATACTGCCTCTTTATTATTTTTGTGATGGTCTCACTATGTAGCTCAGGCTGGCATGGAGCTCCAGCTCCTCCTGCCACAGCATCCTGGGTTCTGGGATTACACGCTTAGTTTCGATTTTGGTTTTTGGATTTTTTTTTCTTGTGATTAGATTAGGGATAAAGGTGTTCAGAGGAAGACCACAGTGGTGTGGGATACTCTCTTCCTGTCATATCAAGGGTACATACCGTCAACCTTATTGATCACTGTGAAGATCACTTCATCATCTGTCAGAAGATCCTGCTGAGTTTCTCCCCTGTGGTGACTCCTTTCCAAATTGTGCTCTTTGGAAGGGGGACATGATCTGAGGCCCTAGTGGTGTTTAAATTCTGGAATCTAGTGGGAAATGAGGCCTTTGGGATGGGGACGGCATGGAAGGAGCCTCACAAGCTTCCAGAGCAGAAGTGCTTCCAGAGTGAGGTGCTCCAGGTGTGGGGTGCCTCCGGAGGTCACTCCTCCCAGTTTCTGCGTGGTGGGACTCCCTAAGAGTGGACACCTTCACCTTGCAAATAGGCTTGGTCTAGGACAGTAGCATCCAGGTAGAGTGTGGAAGTCTTACATTAACTCTGGGCAAAAACTGAGAAAGAAAAGAACTGTCAAAGGGACAGATGTCACCATGGAAACTGGCGAAGGTTACTTAGGGACGTTTTAGGAGGTTGGGTCGTTAGCATCTGTGGGACATGAATTAACCCAGGTGATATACACTTCCAGCCCTAGCAAACAGGCACTATTTTTTGACTGCCATGTAACAGAGGAGGCAAAGAACTTTCCTTAGGAAGCAGAGCTGGTAGAAGGCAGAGCTGAGCCTAGGCTCTGCACTACAGTGCGAGGCTCCTCACTCCTCCCCTGGATGGGGACATGGTCCATGGCAAAGATGGAATTGAAGACAGGAGTTTTGAGCAAGTCGCTTAACCTCTCTGTACCTCTGCTTGCTTGTCTGTAAATGGCTTAAATCATGGCTGTCTCACAGGATTATCCTGTGCCTTGAAAGGGTTAACCTATTTAAATCAACCCACAGTGGGTTTTGTGTCTAGTGTTTATTAAACTCTTGCTTGCAAGCTCAGTGTGAGTCATTTTCCAGCTACAAATCCATCCAACAAACTCCTGAGCACTACCATGTGAGATCCTGCGGATACCATGGAGGAAAAGCCCAGATTTCTGCCCTGGAAACACCAGTGTCTCTAAGCAGGCCACTCCCTATATATTTTCTAATCTTATCTAATTGCATTAGCTGGTACCTGCTGTCAAATGTTACATAATAGTGGAGATGGTAGACATCTTTGCCTTTTTAAATGAGCTGTTTTATTTTTAATTATGTTTGTATGTGTGGATCTATGTGTGGGTATGTGTACCACATGCATGCAGGTATCTGTGGAGGATAGAAGAAAGTGTTGGAGCCTCTGAAGCTGGAGTTACAGGGCATTTGTGAATCATTCAGTGTGGGTGCTGGGACCTGAACTCGGGTCCCCTAAAGAGCAGCAAGTGCTCTTAACCTCTGAGCCATCTCTCCAATCTCTGTTGCCTTTTTTTGACCTTGGTAGAATGCTGTGTGCTAGCATAGGTTTAGATGTTTGTATTTTATTATGTTCAGGGGCTACTCATCCATTCCTGTTTCCCCAAGAGTTTTATCAGGAATAGGAATTGAATGTCATCTAAGACTTTTATAGCATCTATGGGAAAATACTATTTTCTTCTTAGACATGTTGCATATTGGCTTACATTAAGAGATAACCTAAGATTGAACCGTTCCTGGTTATAAACTCTATTTGAGCACTGTGCATTATTTTCTTGGGCAGGAATAATCCGTTTGAGACAATATTAAGGTATTTTTTGTTTTTTCCTGCCAGCCATATTCCTGAACATTGTTGGTCTATGATGTCCTTCTCATGTGTGTAGTTGGCTTTAGAGTTCTTTCCCTTTCTATGAGGACAACTTCTGTTTCCTCAAGACACTGGTTTCATCTGGGAAGCTCTTGGGTCCTAGTGCTTTGCTGTGGGGCTGTTTATTGATGACCTTCTTTGCTGTGTTTGTGGGACTGGCCTGTTTATACTTTCTCTTTTTAATTTTTTGAATTACATTTCCTTTCTTTTGTGTGTGTGTGTGTGTGTGTGTGTGTGTGTGTGTGTGTGTGTGTGTGTCTGTGTGTGTCTCAGCTCAGAGAACAACTATAGGAGTCAGTTCTCTCCTCCAACCATATGGGTCTTGGAGATCAAACTCAGGTTTATTGGGCTTGGTGGCAAACACCTCTGTGTGTGTGTGTGTACATGGGTATGTGTGCATATGTGGAGGTCCGAGGACAATTTGCCAGGAGTCTGTTCTCTCTTTCCATCATGTGGGTCCCAGGGATTGAACTCAGGTTTGTCAGGCTTAGTGGCAAGCACTTTTACCCACTGTGTCATCTTGTTGGCCTGGCCCTATTTTATGCTCTCTAGTTCTACAGGAGTCAGTTTTGGTAAACTATACCTAAGAAACGATCCATTTAGTTCAACTGGGTTTTCAATTTTTTTTTTCATAGAGATGTGTCTAACACACTTTTATTTTCTACTGGAAGAGACAGTCAAATATATCCTGTGCAAGGAATAGGATTAGGGTTGTGGGGTCCTGGTCGTTGCTGGTCCCATGGTAGAGGGGAGATGTGCTGCTCTAGGTAGACTGTTCAGATGGAGTTACCTTGGGTATGCTTGGGACTCAGTGAAGTCTTCCTTCTCCTAACTTTGAATGCCTGGGATTCCGTGGTCACCTCCAGAAGTACCAGGCCACCTAGATCCTGTGGGTGACAGATCTGCTGGTGTGTTTGCTCCCAGTTTGCCTCAGTAGGTCTGATAAGTCCCTCCTTGGGCTCCCTTTTGGCTCAAGCTAGGGGACCAGCCTTGCCCTTTCAAATGCAAACAGACTCTTCCTGATACCTTGGCAGAATCTGGCCCTTCCTCCTCCTCCTGCCTGGGTCAGGCCCTTTGAAAGGCTAGTGAAAACCAGGATGCTACACACGTACACACCTGCACAGGCACCAGCTCCATGAACACACATGTTCCAATCACAGAATATGCGCACACATGCTATGTGCCTGTGGTCCCTCCTAGGGGCACTGCCTCTCCCACCTCCTCATACCATGTGCTTTTTAGACCTACCATTTCTGGGGTACTTGTGGCCCAGTTCCTGTTGTCAC